TAAATAACCGTTGAAAACAATTGTGAACTAGCCGTTGTAATTTTTATTTATATGTTTTTTTATATATTATTATTATTATAGCCTGTTTAGCCCGCTAGGGTTAGGGTTAGGTCTTTTATTGGTAGCTCGTTAAATTTGGGCTTTTGAGGCCAGACCGTTTAGCCCGAAGCCCGATAGGGCTAACCTGAAACCGCCAAGGCTAGCCCGTTTAACATCTCTAATTAACATGGATATGGATATGCAGTGATTATTTGTATTAAACTTTTTTCTCCTCTATATAATAGATGAGAGAAATAAAAAATGCCAATATTTTTTTTTTAGCCAGCCACGGTATTCGGAGTTATGTCCCGACTAATCCGTTGATCGACCCGGGTCGCATACATGGTAGTGGTGGATGAATTTTCTAACTAGAGTTTTCTGCATTCACAAGGACTCGAACTCGAGACCTTGCTTAAGCGGCATCAAGCTACTTACCACTTGAGCCAACTCCAATTGATAAATATCTCAGTTTTGCTATAACAAGTAAACTATATCATATTCTCTTATTACTTGAATAATACTACTAATTTTATTAATTTAGAATGGATTACTTGTTAAATATAAAATGTTGACTCCATTATCGAGCCAATTGTTAACTTCATAGTAAAATTATCCTCGATTACAATCCTCCAAATGATTGATATGGATATGGATATGCAGTGATTATTTTCAAATGGATTAGTCATACTTTATTTTCAAACATATTTTGTCCCAATCAATCTTTTAAACATTTTTCGAGATATTATTTCTTAAGTACCAATAATTTGAAAGGCATTACTATCAACAAGTTGAATGTATTTATGAAATAACCTAACTACTCACAATAATCAATGTACAAAAATCATTATTATCTCTCTGAAATTATTTACTGAGTAGATAGGATCTAAAAACAAGTCGATCTTGATTATTAGCTTGGTAAAAATTCGAATTTGTGAACCTAAAACATCTTCTTTTATTCTAATAATCATTACATTTAGTGCTTTAATTAGTGATAATTAATCACAAATATGTACATTAATGAGCACAATTTTCGAAGACGATTCTAATTAGTTCCAAGTTTCCAACAAAAGCCCTCTTATTTGACTTATTGTTCTCTCAAATATTTAACTAAAAAGGCAGATCAAGATAAGGTTCTTATTTTTATATCACTTATCACATTTCGGATAATCTAAACAATCATTTTTTTCTTCTCTTTTAATTATTCCAAGTATACTTCTTTTCTTTTAATTATTCCAAATCTATCGCTATGTTTGGTAAAACTAGTTGATAAACTAACTTATAGTTGTTAGCTTATTTATAGCTTATGTTGATGGACGAATCTGATCAAAGGTTCAAAGATGGAATAATGTGAATGAGGAATAAAAAAAAAATGGAAGAAATACAATTTAATTAGATTTTATTAAGTAATTACGAGGTCGACCTTTGATAATGAAGCCGCCACTTTTCTTACACTTTGGAATAATTGCAGGAATTTATTACATGATTCTAGAGAGAGAAAATAGTAGTTGAGAGATTCAACAACCCTAATAAATGAATTGGGTCTTCTATTTATAGTACTCCAGGTCCGACACTGTTCACCCACCGTTCATCAATATTGTCGCACAGTATTCTTGCAGGGCAGGCCGGCGTCACTCTGACAGTTATTTAATACAATTTAAGTTTTCTTAATCATTACATGTCAGACATTTAATGCACACAGGATGGGCATTTAATGCTGACAGGCTTT